AAAATTTATTAATTAAAATAAGTAGACAGATAGGTTAAGAATATGAGAAGATATGTTAAAATAATTTGGACAAATAGGTAAAAAAAAATTTACAAATAGAAAAAAAATATATTGACATACATAAGTTAATGGGGATAAATAAGTTCAAAAGAGTAACAATATACATGGCTTAAAATAATTTGTACTGATAGATTAAAAAAATTTGGACACATATATTAAAATTATTTGGATAGATAAGTTCAAATATTGGGACAGATAACTTCAAAAAATTTGGACAGATAAGTAAAAATATTGACATGCATATGTTAAAATAATTTGGACACAAAAGTCAACAATACGGGGATAAATAATTTAACAATATGGGAACAAATATGTTCAAAAAATTTGCACAAACATGTAAAAATATTAGCATACATGGTTAAAATAATTTGTACAAATAGGTTAAAATTATTGAAACATGTTAAAATGATTTGGACCGATAGGTTCAAATATGGGACAAAGTTAAAATAATTTAGACGGTAAGATTCAAATAATTTGAACAAATATGTATATGAAGATGCAAAAAAAATTCGCTTATGATGTTAAAATCTCAATAACTCATAACTTTACGCTTGTTATTCTGTTTTAGACAATTGTTTTTATTCCAATTATTTATTTATTTATTTATTTTGTTGTGAGATCTATCCATTCAAAATTACCGAAAGTGGTTTCGAGTGTTTACTTTCTCAAAGAAATATAAAATGTTGTTTTGTTATTTTAATTAATCGAAAAATCAATCTATTATTAATTTATTTTTAAATTTCATATTCAATATTGATCTTATTATTTGAAAGATGTCAGAAAGACAAATCTACCTATATTAATTTTGTTAAAAATAGAGTTGTAGAACTTAAGTTATGCATTTTTAAATTTTTTTAGGTCAAAATATAGGGTAAAAATGTTAAAAATTATCCCTAGCATCACATGTTTTTCCGTATCAACTCAGAAGTGTTATGAGTCTTTATAAACAACAAAGACCAAAGCTTGGATCTAATACTTAATGCACCCCTCAACTTGGATTTACTGACAATTTTTCTATTTAAATGTTGTCACTAATAAATTTTTATTTATTGACAGATTACAAAAATATGTTTTATAAAGATGCTTTGAGATATATAAAATTATCAATAATTAGTAATATTTATCTCTTTAATCATATTGGATAATAAGTTGTTGCCCCCTTGGTTTCTACTAAAAGGTCGAATATTTTTCTATATATCAACAGAAATTTTATAAAAGGGCATTGAGGGAAAAAATTCACTCTAGTGGAGACTGAAAATCTTCTAAGCAAGTCAGAAAGAAAATTAAAATAATGAAATCATTAAGGAGAAAGTGTGTGGAACCTGCAAAAGCCAAGTAAGTTTACTGTCTCGATATGGAACATGGACACCTTCCTTCCGCTTCTTTTCATCACCAAGTGCACTGATAACATTACCGAGCGCTAGAAGGCCCTTGTTGATGTGAACTCCTGTTCAAAGCAATAGCATATTACATAACTCTTTTATGACCAAAAGTGCCTTTAAATGCAAAAACTGGCAAACAAATTCCTCACCTTCCTTAAAACGCAGACCATCAGAACCAGTTCTTTTGGCTCGCTCAGATCCTGCAAGATCCACTAAATGCAATTTGGCACATAGATATTCTTCACTCATACTGTCGTTAAGATTGCTATCACTAGGAAAAGCTGGATTGAACTTCCGCATTTGCTCTAATGTGATGGTGAAGATGGCATGTGAACGACTGCATAAACAAACAAACAGATTATAAGATAAAAAATAACAACCAGATTATGAGCATCAACCAACACCTAAAACATTCAAAAATAGATTATAAGAAGAAGCCATTATAACGATGAAAATAAAAAATAAAGAAGCTTGACATTAAGAAATAAAGATAGATAGATCATTTGTGAGATTAATTGAAAGCAAGAACAGAGTGATAGCAAGAATTTATCAGTTTGTAAATGAAAGAGAGATAATCAGAAAATAATGACAGAGGGAAAATCTGAAAAGAAATCGTTCTGTTTTCTAGAAACAATTTATAGAATACAATCAGAATAATAAATTTGCATAAAAAACAACCAGAATAATAAATATGCATCAAACATCATCCAATTCCAGTAAAAAAGATGCCTGGTGGAAAAAAAAAAAAAAAAAACATGCATCTCTAAAAAAACTTCATTGTTCCTTTCCATTATTAACATACATACCTCAGAATTAACAAAAATAACTTCAGGCAACTTTATTGCTTTCATCAACCAATTAGGTTTCCACGACACCATTTATCTCATCCAGACGTTAGAATGAAAAATGAAGGAAATAAAGTACCAATATGTATATTAACAGAAGAAAAGTACCATTTGCAAGTTTTGGCATCAATGCATCATATTAAAAAAAATTAAAAAATATATATAACGTGAACAGTGTAAAAGAAAAAAAAATAAACATCAATGCCCAAAGAAGGAAAAAAAAAAATTTGTGAAGATCACCACCAAAGCTTAGATATATACATATCTCTTCTGAAATTGAATCAGTTTCTGCAGATTGATTCACTTAAATGGGATTAATCTGTTCTTGCCGAGTATTTTCTAATTTAATCAGTTTCTACAATCTGATCCCATTTAATCTGTTCTTGATCATTCAGAAACTGATTAAAGTGAACAATTGTAAACTGGTAAAAAAGGAAATTTATGTATTTCGCGAAAAAAATACAACAGAGAGTGGGAGGAGGACAGGAATACCTTGTGATGAAGAGGAGCGTCGATCCCAAGAACAAACTGATTAAAAATATATATATAAATTCAGCCCTAATCATATATATGCATCAGGCCATTGCAAATCCCAAATCTCAGGAAGCAAAAAACATAACCCAAATGAATACACAAGTAAACAATCAAGAATGAAGAACAAAATGGCAAAACCCCAGAGTATCAGATCAGCGGAGAGATGAAACTGACAGATTCGAATGATTTTCAATGAACTTAGAATACTCACAGGCCAAGTCCACCGTCAGTCTAAGTCGAAGAGTGGACGTTTGGGCGGGATAGTTGAAGAGCGGACGTTTTGGGGAAAATGCTAATAATTGAAGAGTGCCCATTGCTCCCAACTACCCATATGGACTACAGGGAAAGAATGCCAATTGCAAGGATAGGAGGTATTATAAGGCAAAGTGACTAACCATTAGACACAACGAACATAAAGAGGCTTACATTCTCATGAGTGATGATGCCCATAAATCATTTTCTCGAAAACTTATCCTCCCAATCCACACAAAAAATATATTGTTTAATTGTTTAAAATATATAAAAAGTGAGCAAAATGTAGGATACCAAGGTTTGTGTTCTATGGCCCTAAATTAGTAACACAGAGGCTGCCCTAAATTAGTAACACAGAGGCTGCCAATACCAACTGATCAAAGCTGTGCATATGCTGGAATTCCTACAATTAGCAGAAACCCAAAATTTCATCGTCACAAAATATTTATCATTTAGAACACAAGCCAATGTATTGTAAAATTATCATGTGAAACTTATTATTACGATTACTATGAATGACATTGCACACTGATCAGTTTGTCTGATGGAATTCGATTCCCATAAGTTATACAATTTTCTACTTTAGTTATGACCTTATTTTAGTTATAACTCATGAGATCTTTATAGGTATGCCTGATGTGTTATTTGGTTATGACTTTTTTTATTTTTATTTTTTATTTTATTTAAGTTATGACTCAAAAAATATGAAATTATGCCAATTTTTTCTTTAATTATAAGGTGCAAACGGTCCACACTTTTTGAAGGGCATGCACCATAGTCTTTCCCGAGTTATTCTTGACCACCAAAGATTGAACAATACCAAAATTTTAAGCCTTTTGCCCTGCTTTCAAGACCATGCCGAACAGGCTAGCCTTTTGTGGGCTTTAATCAAGTCTCAAACTACATAAATCACCCCTTTAATGGAAAACAAAAAAACAGATAACAGATTCTTTAAAACTCAATTTTCCTAAAATAGATTCTAGAATAGAGTCAAAGAAATTTTCAGTCATGTTTTTTTGTAAACTGTTTTGTGATCTAGAAAAAAAAAAAAAAGAATGCTATGCATTTGCGAAAACTGGTTCTTGAAAGAAAAAGAAACCCAAAAAAGGAAGAAGGGGAAAAAAAAAATCAATCCTTGAAATACAATCTTAGACAAATTTTTTGAATTCAAAATTTTGAATTACAAAGGAAACAAAAACAATTATAAAAAAATCAATTTTTTTATGGATTTCATCTACGGTAATCCATAAAAATGAAAAGAGAGCCTAAAATAAAGCAAAAGGCAATGTGTTTCATGCAAATTCTTGAAAATTCAGGGCAACAGAGAATTCGTAACTCCAAACAATCAATTATAACATCTAAATTCTTTCTCAAATCAAGAAATTTAAACACCAACTTGCATACCCAGAATCTTAATTATATGTAAAGGTGTAGAATTGCATACCCAAAATCATCAGGAACAATTCTCGAAATCTTAACATTCTTTCGAGAACCCTTGTAAAGCTCCTCCAAACTACACACCAACTTGTTTTCCACAGGAGCCGCTTTCCGAATCGTTTGATTTCCATTCAAATTCTTTGACCCATTTTCCCCAAAACGTCCACTCTTCCCTCCACAATCAGATCCACCAAACAACTCCGCAAAATCAAAATAATTGGTAACCTAATTACGATGCCGGGGTGATCGGAACTCTGATATTTACCTAACTTAATAATTCCAAAAATCACCATTTCCAAAAATCCCATCTGGGCATACAATAGATTATGTAACAATAAATCAATAAATCATCCGAATTTCTGATTTCAAAATCAAAATAACAATTAAAACAACAATCAAATAGCCCAAAATGTGAGTTCGAGGACTGGAGAGGCAGACACAGATAGAGAGAGAAGGGGGAGGCAGAAATCTTACCTTGCGAGACTGGAGAGCAGAGTCGAGTTTGAGAGGCAGAAGACTGGAGAGCAGCGGAAGAAGGAAGGTAGGAAAGAAGAAGAACAGACAGGGGGAGAGATAAAAAGGGAATGGGGCGGAGAGTGGGTGAGAACAGAGAGGGAGAGAGACGAAGAGGGAAGAGGGAGGAGACGTAGGTAGGTGGAAGGCTGAGGGAGTGAAATATTTGGGCGGGAACTATATAGATCTGAGCCATTGATATATACCAGGATTGATATTGACCATTAGATCAAAATGTATCTCACACACATTTTATACATTTTCAAAAAGCCTTCTCCCTTATTATATAGATATATATATATATATATATGCAATGTTATGTTCTAATTTTTTAATGTAATAAGAATGCTTTTTATTTATAGATTTCTAGCATAATTTTCATGTCTATTTGGTTCTAGTATAATTTTATTTTATGAGCATGATTTATAATTTCTTACCATGCTTTCTATGTCTTTTTATTTCATAATATTATAATATAATTTGCATATTCATGAGTGTTTAAATGTTTTAGTTAAAATTGACATGCTAATTAATTTCTACTTTTCTAATATAATATACATGTTCATATTTTTTAGATGTTAGTTTATATTACATGCTTATTATTTTCTAGATTTGTAATGTAATTTGCATGCTAATTGCTTCCTAATTTCTAGAATTATTTATACGAGTTATATACGTGTTAATTATCTAGGCTAGAATATTTACATGTTTATTGTGTGATAAATATATGTAACTCTTGCCTATTAATTTAATTTAATTATTTGGAGTTATAAATTTTTTGTAACTTATCTAGTATTTTAATTCATTCTTTAATTTTGCTATTAAATAGTTTGTTAGAAGGTTTTAAATAATGTATTACTTGTACAGTTTCTTTAAATTATTTGTTTTGTATTTTGTTGTGTTTTTCTACTAACTTTCTTTACCAGAATATTTATGCGAAAGAGAATGGAAAAACAAATACAAAACCAAATTAATAGAATTTGAGATTACAACAAAAAATTGGGATTACAACAAAAATTTTGGACTACTAACCTTTTTGTTGAACAAAAATACCTAAGCGTGGAAAGGAATTTTGGATCAAATAAAATCCTTATGGATTGGTTACTTTTCTTTATAATTGAAGCATTTTTTTTCTTGATCTTTAGTTGTAGTTATTTACCAATAAGTTGAAGCAAGTTTGTTTACTTGTAATGTTTTGGAAGCATTTTATTTGCTTGAAAGTGTTGTAGCAATTTTTTAATTGCTTGTAATTTGGTTAGCAATTTTTTAATTGCTTGTAAGCTTTGGAACTTGGTTTATTTCAAACTAATTTATCCCCTGAAAAACTTAATTCTAAATTTGTTTCCCACGGATTAGGAATCAACTTGCTCTTGAAAGTTTTGTCTAAGGTTAATTGGGTCTTAAGTGAGATCGGTGTGACCCCTCCAATCTTCCTGGAAACTTTCCTGATCATATTCGATTCTAGGATAAGTGGTGAAAATAGTTTTGAATTAAATTTTCAACTTTGGGATTTTCTAATATTAGAAACATAGAATAGTGAAATTCTGTTGTATTTTTCAGAAATGGCAACTATCAGTAATGCTTCTATTACTGCTGCTAATGTTGGTGGGGGTCAAAACCCCAAGACAACTGGCTTGCCAATCCCTATTGTGACCCATGTGATCAACCTTGCTGCTGTGACCTCTGTGGTCAACCTCGTTGCTACTCCTACTGTTTCGGAGGACCATTCAACCATCATGAGCGCTCGGAGAA